TTTCTCTGTAACCTTGTGCGAATTGGTATTTTACGATTTTATTACAAGCAAATATGAAAGATAAGTTAATATTTTTGTGTAACCTAGGGCATATATAGAAATTATTTTTATTCTATACAAAAGCAAGTTTAGTGAGCTTTCGATTCCATGGAATTTAATGTTAGAATGAGTTTTGCGTTTCAGTTATTTTTTAGAGTTTCTTTTTTATTTCACCTCTGGAAATAAGGCGCGGGCCTTATTTTCAGTGATTTAACGTGGGCTTTATTTTCAAAGGTTTTTAGTTTTAGTAGGGCAAGTACAAGTGCCGAGGTTTACGTGCCAACTGGGACAGACAGATGATGGAGGACGCACTTAGGCTTTTACGACAAGGACATTCTCAAAGAGCTGTAGAATAGCAAACAGGTATTCCTCGTCGTACTTTAAGAAATCATTTAAAAAGTAGTGTTGTAAGTAGGACAATATGACGCCAACTTATTTTAACAGAAAACCAAGAATCCGAACTGGAACAAATGATTATTCGTCTAGCACAAATTGGTCTACCTCTTACACCAAAAGCTCTGAGAAGAAGTGTTTACAAGTTTGTTAAAGCTAATCGAATTGATCTGTTCCAACAGAATAACAATAAAAATATAATTGGCAAAGATTGGTACTCCACATTTCATAAACGCCACCCACGTATTAGCAAACGAAAAGCACAATCAATGAATCTAGCCAGATCTGCGACATTACAACAGTTTGATTTAAAATATTCTCCTGGCCGAATTTACAACATGGACGAAAAGGACTGCAGGCTAACATTACATCACCAACAGTCTGTTCTTGCATTAAAAGGGACGAAGAGGGTGCATCTAGTTTCACAAGAACATGGCGAAAATGTGACCATTGTAGTCTGTGTTAATGCATTGGGAAACTGTATTCCACCAATGATTTTATTTAAAGGATCTCGCAAAAAGCCAACGTATTCAGATAACATGCCAATCGGAACAGAAGTCTTAATGAGTCCCAAAGGCAGCATGACCACCACAAAGCTATTCTGTGAGTGGTTGGTCCACTTTGGAAAATACAAACCACCTGGAAAGGTGCTACTTATATTGATGGGGCGAAGTGCCATTCAGACATTTCAATAGCAATCAAAGACGAAGAAATTGATGTTGAGTTACTCTGCCTCCCTAGTAACACAACTCATGAACTACAGACTCTCGACAAGGCTGTATTCCGATCGTTTGAACGTTATTGGGATGATCAGCTACTAACATATTGGGACCAGCATCCAGACCGTCGTTTAAATAAGAACATATTCTCTGATGTCTTTACACCAGTTTGGGAAAAATCCATGAATGTAGCGAACATAACAAGTGGTTTTAGAGCTGCAGGAATTTTCCCATTTAAACCGAATGCCATAGCTGATGAAGCCTTCGCACCATCGACGCTTTCAAGAAGAGCTGCAGAACAAGACTCCTTTTCTGATGACGACGATTTACCCCTTAGTGATTTAAGATTGAAACTTATCTCGAAATAGACTGAAATCAATAAAAATACTGAACCAGTACCTGGACCATTAGGCACTCAAAAGCAACTGGCGGCCACACATTCATGTTCTGAATTATTAGTACACCTCGACAGATGGACAGTCCAATACCTGGACCATCAGGCACTCAAAAGCAACTGACGACCCCACATCCTTGTTCTGAAATGTTAGTAGATATTACCTCGACATCCAAACAGTCCAGTACCAGAACCATTAAACCTTAAAAAATAACCGAAAACACGTTCTTGTTCCTTACACCCACTACCCAATAAGAAGGCAGATAAATTGCAAAGAAGTATAAAAATAGTACAAATTTAGCGGAAAATAACGTTATTTGCAACCAAACGTTATAAGAAACGCCTGGTTAAATTTTTATGTCATGTAGCCCTCTCCTTAAAAAGTTTGCCCATCACTGGCTTTAAACAATAATTACAAATCTTACTAGCAGAATATCTATAAGACTCTCTCGCGAAACTCTACCTTTAAGCTGAATTAAAATTACACTCTAAAATCTAAATATTTCATGATCGTTAAGTAGATTATTTTGAAGAAATTACTGGGAATTTTAAAACCGCTTTATTGCATTGTATTTGTGGAAATACCAATACCCTTAAATAGGTAAATACCCAATCCCTCTTTAGGTAAATGCTCAATTTGTATATTCTGGTGAAAAATCCTTCCTAATATGCTCTGTAATACATTTTTCGATAAAATGCAATGTTTTCTGAAATTTACTAAAATACGCAAAAAAATTTAATATATATGCATTTCGCATATTATAGCAATACAATATTCAGTATTGTAAATAATATCATTGAATACCTATATGATTTATTAGGTACCTAAAAATAATCAATAAAATAACCTCGATAATAACAATAAATAATGTCTTTATTGAAATGACAATTTATTTAAAATTCTACTTTGCTCAACAAACTTGCTACTTACGATAAAACTAGGAAATTACTGACATTGGAACCTTCTTAAATTTGTATAAAGGACAATTTTAAAGGACATAACTACATAAACATATTAACACCTATTTGAAATAATGCCATACACTGTTGATCCAGCGATTCTTTGCCCATGACTTATAACTAGCTCTATCTTTAAGGTGAGTTGATCCAGAGCACTTAGACCTCATAAATCCCATTGTGCATCCTCAAGGGGTATATAGGACCTGCTTCTCAACTCGTCAAAAACGTACTAGTTGACGCTGAGGGGAGTATAGAAACAGCCATTTACTGAGCTCGTTAAAATCCTGCAGGTTATCAAATCAGCAAAAATCTGCTGGTTGACGCCGAGGAGTGTTTACAGACAGCCATTTTCTCAGCTCGTCAAAGTCCTGCAGGTTATCAACTCGTCAAAAAACTGCTGGTTGATGCTGAGAGGTATCTAGAGACAGACATCTTCCAGCTCGTCAAAGTCCTGCAGGTTATCAACTAAAACCTGCTGGTTGACGCTGAGAGTTGTCTAGATCGTCACAGTCCTGCAGGTTATCAACTCGTCAAAGTCCTGCAGGTTATATATCAACAACTCGTCAAAAAACTGCTGACTGAAGCTAAGGGGTGTCTAGAAACAGCTATCTTCTCAGTTCGTCAAAATCCTGCAGATTATCAACTCGTTAAAAACCTGCTAAATGACGCTGGGGGTGTCTAGAAACAACCACCTTCTCAGATCGTCAAATTCCTGCAGGTTATCAACTCGTCAAAGCCCTGCAGGTTATCTATCAACTCGTCAAAGTCCTGCAGCCGCAGGTTATCTATCATCTCGTCAAAGTCCTGCAGGTTATCAACTCGTCAAAAACCTGCTGATTGACGCTGAGGGGTGTCTAGAAACAGCCATCTTCTTAGCTCGTCAAAAACCTGCAGGTTATCTATAAAGTCGTCAAAAACCTGCCGGCTGACATTGAGGGGTGTCTAGAACCAGCCACCTTCTCATATCGTCAAAGTCCTGCAGGTTATCAACTCGTCAAAAACCTGCTGGTTGACGCTGAGAGGGGTCTAGAGATAGAAGTTTCCCAGCTCTCCCAAGTCCTGCAAGTTATCAACTAAAACTTGCTGGATAAAGCTGAGGGGTGTCTAGAAACAGCCACCTTCTCATATCGTCAAAGTCCTGCAGATTATCTATCAACTCGTCAGAAGCCTGCCGATTGACGCTGAGGAGTGTCTAGAAACAGACATCTTCTTAGCTCGTCAAAAACCTGCAGGTTATCTATAAAGTCGTCAAAAACCTGCCGGCTGACGCTGAGGGGTGTCTAGAACCAGCCATCTTCTCAGCTCGTCAAAGTCCGGCAAGTTGTCTACTCAATAAAAACCTGCAGGTTGTCGCTGGGGAATGTCTAGGGATAGTCAGTCTTTCAGGTCAGAGTCTTGTATGTTAATAGCATTGCTAAAAGATGTCATCTCTAAAGGCCTCAGTTTTTTTGAGAAGTGGGCCTCTACCACCCCGATGGTAAATGCTCGGGTTACCCCATTCTGGCCTCCTGCTTCATAGGGCAATGCCTCATAGCTAATAATCATATGAAACAAATCAAAAATGACAAAATAGAAACTAATTTTGTCTAGCTAAGGTAAATTGTGTAATATAAATTATGTTTTATATTATCAGATATTAATTTTAAGTAAAGAAACGCTGGCCAAGTGTATATGCGATATTAATTTAGCATTTTTACAATGTTAAGTTGTATTTTTTCTATATAAAGGGGTTTCTTAGTTTATTAAATAATTATTTTCTTGGAAATTTTAAATTACTAAAAACTTTAAAACCTACATCAATAAACTACTTTTTTCTAACTAAACGAACTCATACATATGAGGTTCTTTCGTTCGTCCCACTGGTGAAGTTGGGTGTAGTAATGAACTACACCAACCTACACCCATACCTTTCGTTTGGTCCGGTGTAAAACCCACTATACCTTCCTGTCGGCGATGTGGTGTACACTGGTGTATATTTTCTCCACCAGCTATTTAGCAGGAGTGAATTACACTCGACGATGTGTATAAGGAATAAGGAGGAATAAATTAGGGTAAATAAGGTGGTGTAACTGGTGTAATTTACACTGGTGGACACTACACCAATAGCGAACGAAAGAACCTATTATTTAACAAAAAAACACCTACAGTCATTGCGTTCGGTCTGCCAAGTTCCTTTAACTCCTTTAACACTTTTAACTCCAAACGACCCTTTTACCGTTAGGTTTAGTCCGATTAGTGACAGTTTAACACGCTTAAATGTCATTTAAAAGCACCCTAAAATTTGTCCCGCTCCAGCCCCTGACTGACCGAACTCGCCTAGTCATTAATATGATACTTTCAGAATATAATAACATTTTTAAAATTTGAAGTTGTATCTATAGTATCTTATCATTCATATAATAATTTAATATTAATTTGATGTAAATCATAAATACATACAATACCTACAGAGAAATCAAATAGGTATTTCTATTATACATATAGAGTAAAATAAAGCCTCATATTTTTATGTAACCTACCTAGCCATAAAAACAATGAATTGTAATAATTCACCGCTTATAAGAATGGGATATTCATAACAAAAAAAGTAATCAATGAAGTTGTTGCATACAAAAAAAATAGAAATTGAAAAATTAATGGCAATGGTTTTCAGGAATTGTAAATGGTTTCTGTTGAAGAAGAGCACTATAAAGACCATTAAAAATCCAGGAGAAACATCTCAAAAACTATAAAGGCTCACAAAGTTCAACAAGTTATCGAAGAACATAGTTTCCATCCTATAGTTTGAATCTGTCACCCACCAAATATAATCTGTTCCCCAAATTGAGAAAACAATTATGAGTGTACATAATTTCTTATAATTGTCTGAAAAAGTGTATTTTTTAAAAGGATTTCTTCATTGCATGTTAAAGGAACACAATTAGTAGAAAAAGAAATGTTTTTTCTTTGGTGGCTTGGTAGATTACACAAAAATATCAGATCATAATTCTTTCTATATACTTACCTATTTTTTTTATTTCTTATATCACAGTTGTTTCTAATGCATTATAATCCCTAACTGAAATCTTAAAATAACTATTTGCAATTACAACTAAATGTGGCAAAACACAACTTAATCCTATATACATAGCATACGGTATTGGTGCAGTATTACCAAAGGGGTATAACCAATAGCCTCTTCTTGTAGCATCTCTAGTATGATGGCTTGCAAATGCAGTCAATACAATTAAACTACATCTTTTTGCAGTATAACTCTCCAAAAAGTTGCCTACAAGCAGTATTAGAAGGCATAGCAGGACAGGAACGGTGGAACAGTGAAGGAATGGTCTACGTTTAAGATTTGTAGCATCCTAAAAGGAAAAATGGGAGTTAATATTAATTTCATTAACCCTGAGAGTTAGTCAATATCAGTGTCTGTCAGAAATCAGGTAATCTGTATTTCTTGGGGATGTAAGTTAGATTGTGAGTTGGGTCATTTGGCACTAACCGCTTTATTTAATCAGGCATTGACTGCGCAAATACCTTTTTTTAATTGATTTCAAAAAAGGAAGAGGTCCTCAATTTTTGGAATATTTTTTTTATGTATGTTCAGGGATAATTCTTTACTACATTGTCTAATTTTTAGAATTCTTTACATGAGGGGTGGTCCCATATAAATTTGGTCAAGATCTAATAATGGGGTCCATGAGAAATTCATCAATCTCTTAATTTTTATGTATTTTTAGCGAAAATTCTTTCTATGATTCTTTTTTGTTAGAAAGGGGTTATCTCAGGTGTAATTACATATATACAATTGATCAGGGTCTGATAATTTATGAAACAATAAAAAACCTTAATTTGTAAGGGCATCTGCTTGATTTTGAAGTTCATTTTTTAAAATTACTTTTATAACTTATTTTTTCTATGATTTCAAGTTTGTCAACACCTTTTTGTTTGTTAGTTCTCTATTTGATTATCTATTGTTAAGATTCATGAAGAGCTTTTAATGGTGTTTTAAGATCTTGTTTTATACTATTTATATCATAGGTTTTACTTACTTTTATACAATTTAAATCTTTAAGCTTACCTTCAAATTTAAAGATCGTGCTTCGATAAAATGATCTAAATCAATAAAAGAAGAGAGTAAACTACAACAAACAACTTCTAAAATTTTTCCTGATGTGCTAACTTCTTTCGAATATAAGCAAACGATCAACCAAGATAATCCACCAATAAGAAAATGAGTTGCATTATCGAACAAAGCTTGAAAAACGTGCAATTTACTGTAAGCTACTACATAATCGCCAGTAATTGCGGTTAAGAGTATTAAACATGTTAAATAGCTCACAGATTTGTTTAAATTTTGTAACAAAAACATTAAAATCCTATAAAAGATAATCAAAGTTGAATTTATAGAGGTTATGTTATTATGTTCTACTTCTGTTTATTTTTTTGGCCTCCACCTTTTCTGTATTTCAGCAAAATGTAAATCCAAATGCAGTGACTCATATTAGTTGCACCACAGATAAAATGTATACAGATATAAGGGTATGCTGCGTTTGAGAATTCACATCGGATGCATCTGAGATGTAAAAAATCTTTGATCACGTGGTTCGGTATACGTAAATGTAATGGGACAGATGTGTCCGATGTGGATAAAAAAACGCTCGAGATGTAAAAAATGCATCCGATGTGGATTCTCAAACGCAGCAAAAGTATAGGAATCATGATTTTTTTCGACCTCGAGTTTTCGACGGATTTTTACGTTTTGAGGTCCCCTGAATCCGTTTAAAAACGAAGTTTAAAATGACATTTTTACATTAACAATGTCATTTTAATCTCCGTTTAACACAACGGTGGAATAGGCCCTGAACATGTCAGAAAGTAAGTGTTGTGTGAATAAGGACCGATTCCACCGTTGTGTTAAACGAAGTTTAAAATGACATTTTTACATTAACAACGTCATTTTAATCTCCGTTTAACACAACGGTGGAATCGGTCCTAAGCCAAATTTATATCTATTTATCCTCTATTTATGCTAGTGTGAATATAAAAGTGATTATTGTGTTTAATTTTTGTTTAGATTTCAAATTTAGGTTATACATTATACGCGTGTCTTTTTTCCACCGGTTTGTTGGAATCGTTTTTTCGCCGATGCGGCCTTGAACGCCTTTTGTTGGATTCGATTTATTTATGGTTGACCGTTGAAATAAATAACAGTTGACATTTTGGATTAAACTTTGTGTTTATAATTTTATTTTAATGTATCTATATAACTTTAATTTGGACGTATACATTGTTAAAAGCCCATTTTTTCGGTTGAACATTGAACTGATGGAATAGTGTTGCATCGATTGCATCAACGTTGGATAAAAAGATAGCGCTGTTAGTTCATCACTGATGGATTGATGAAAAAAAAAGACAGGTAGATACCGCACCGATGCCAACGTTACTGCAACAGTTGGATAAAAAGACACACGTTATGCCTATAGGTGACAAGTGACAGGCGCGCGAAAATTAATTTGAATCGCGAATACAAATCGATATGGTACTAGAGATCTCTCAAAAAATATTGGTCTTGATTGGTTTTCCTACACTTTACTTACAACCCCACTACAATTTGTACTTGCATCTTCTAGTCAATATCGATTGTACAATTAGACCATCTTAGAATGACGTTACAATAAATCCTCCATATTGGCTGAGGGGCATACGAACTTTATCAATACTCAATAAAAACCAGGAATATTTTGCAATTAGTAAAATAATTATTATTCTAGTTAACAAACCATTAAATATAGCCATAATAATGAAACACTTTTCTATTTTTTAAAATTGTATTTAAACAAATTCATATACAGAAAACGTTATTTTGTTATTCCTATTAAAAAGTATACATATTGCTTTTTCCATAAATGGTATCCAAACAATGTAAAAAAGAAAAAATAACCTAGTAAATTATGAACAACGTTTCATAACATCAATATGAAGTCATGCACTCTGAACATTTAACAAATAAATATAAAGAAATTTTTTTAAATAATATAAATGTATTTTGATGGTGTTTTGTAAAAGGCTTCCACAACATGACTCAATATCTGATAACATATCTGGAAAGTCTTATTAGAAAATTAAGAATTGTTCGCTCGATATAGATGATTTTCTCCAAGGCCTGCTTTAGAACCATTTTTTGCGAATCACCCCTTATTACTTTGTAAAGTGTACATATTAATAATATGCCAGTTAAGTAGAAACGAATTAACAGAAAAATTTAACATTATTTCTAAAATTTTTTAAAATTAATGATAAAATAATGAACCAACTGAATCGAAACTAGTCTATTTCGGTTTGATTTAGTTTCTATTTTGACTTGTTCTAAGTCCTTAATAGTATTTAAAAAGCAATAAATATATTATTAACAGACCATTAAATTTTCTCACAAAGCATATTTAAATAGTTACCATTACATGTAAATCCCAAAGAAGTAGAGAGGGTAGAACGATAAGGTACCGTCTGCGCATCCATCACGAGTGTAGAAATTATGCGTGATTCAGCCTTCCACTCTTACACACGTAAATGACAAGGAGAGGTTGCCCTAAAGCACTGTAAACACATTCCAGGATCGACTTTATTCAGCGATTATGTTCATGTTCAGCTCTGTTTTTTGTTTGTGTTTTGGCTGTTGTAAGCTTTTTTTGGCGTCAATTCTTTGTTATCTTGCTTATATTTATGATTTTTTATGCTTTTATTCCGATTTAGTATTAAATTATACTTGTTAATTATTTTTCGATGCACTATTTTATAATTGTTGCACAAAATGTTGTTGAACCATCCCTGAATTTTGTTTACAAAATGTGCAAAACGAAATTGTGCATAGTGTCCAGACTTTTTCATTGACATTTATCATTCTACCCCTCTCCACTTCATTGGTAAATCCTTAAAAATAGAAATGTCAACGTCAAAATCAGATTAGAAGCAGAGTTGTAAGATGGCGTGACTTTACAATCACACTTTTGAATGTTACTGTCAATAGTAAAATTCAAATAAATGAGGTTATGGTTCCTCAAATTAATAATAAACTTTCGTTAATATTTCTGGAAACCATTTAAGAAACCGATAGAAAAACGCGTAAAAAATGTCAATTTACTAATATTAAAATGATTCGTGAAATATCGACCAACTTTATTTGACATTTATTTAAGATTTTACATGGAGTAAATTTAAATATTTTTTGTGATTAGGTTACATTTGATAGAGAATATCAAAATATGTAAAGAATAATAATAGATAGGTATATACCCTTTCCAAACCAAATCCAAGATAGCGTTTATACCAGAGGGGCGTAATAATTTACGTTATAAGCACTGAGAATGCTATATCCTCACATTGCAAATAAGCGCGAAAAATATTGTATACTCCCCTTTTAAAACACAGGAGCCGCTAGACAACGTGGACTTGATTGACGTGTGTCACAAGCCCATCATCTTCTTCGTCTACCAATGAAAACACGCAAACAGGAACTTGGAAGGCGTGTTCGAAATAAGTTTTTATAATTTATGGGACGCGGTAAAGACCGGTCTTCGGACTCTTCGGTTATTATGTTGTTATTCAGTAGCGTGCACAGTCTTTTTATTTTAAGGTGTTTCTGTTAAATTTTGATTTGTGTTATACGAGATGGCTTTCTGGAGACCATTTGAGGTAAATTTAGATGCTAATGAATTGCAGGTTAATGATGAAATTGCAATAAATAATGAAATTCAGAATAATGATGAAGTAAAATTAAATGCAGTACAAATTAATGATGAAATACGTATTAATATTGCAATTCAAAATAATGACAATGAAGGTGAAACACAATCTTGGGAATTCAAAAACCAAGACTTACATATTCAAGTTCAACAGGTCATTTTAAATGTTTGTTTGTCCTAAATCAGAAAATCCAAATATTTCACAAACAGATGCAGTTAAAAGAATATGTAAGTTAACAAAAATTCCATATTCCACAATTTATTTCGTTATTAAACGAGGCGTTATTGAACACAGTCAAAAAAGAAAACGTGTCGTCAGCCGTCGGATAGATGATGCATCTAAAGATATGATTCGACGAACGGTTTTAGATATAAAAAGTTAGATAGCCGAATGTGCATTATGGCGTCGAATTGTAGAATTACGTCAAATTTATTTAAGGGAAATTTTTAAATTTAAAAATAGCAATAGAAATATAGTTTATTTAGATGAAACATGGTTCGACACTCAATGTTGCGTTTTCATGTTAAATTTAAGTTTAATTATTCATTTATTAGCTTTTGATATCAATATCTGCTTTACCATTGACAATACTTTCTTCCCAAACCAAACGGCTTCGATGGTAATAAAAACACAGGTATGAGTTGTGTATGCGCAAGTAATAAAATCAATAGAGCTCAGAATATAGAAATCGTCAGTACAGTGTTAAAACCGACATCGAATAAGTCAGAATTTTTGTGTGTGAACCGCATTATCAAGATCGCATTAGCGCCTCCAGCCGCTTCAGATGTTAAGTGTGGGCCCACAGGAAAATATAGAAGTATCCCGATCCAGAGCCACTAGTAAAGGTAGGATGAAATATTGTCATTGTTTAATTAAAAGAAATAAATTATAAATTATTCACAGTCCATTATAAACGCAACACTCATTATGTTCAACGTGGTTGGGCAGACGGTTCACAAAATTGTGTTTTAAATGCACCATGCTCGAGGGGGAAACGAGTCATAATGTTACATGCCGGAAATGAAAATGGCTTTGTACCAAACGCTTTGCTACTTTCAACAAAAAATATCAATAAAACTCTGCTGGATTATCATGAAGATATGAATGCAGCAGTTTTTTTTTTAAGTTTCAAGTAGAACTATAGTGCATCTATCTAAATAACGGCATTTAATGCCTTCCAATTATTGATAATGGCAATTTAATTTTAATAATAAAAAACGATACGCCCATGTGCGCGGTCCCTTTGAAGTCGGCGCTACTAGTCGGTTATAATGCCGTGTTGGATTGTGTCTAGAAAGACTATAATATCCAAAATTGTCACTTTTCGCTCTAAAATAACATGAATTTATTAAAAATATAAATTATTCAGCCACAGATATCTACTGAAAAGCCAGTAGAGGAGCTCATAGATTATGTATGCATAATATACATACATATCTACTGACTACTTTTAAACCTACATTATTCAGTTACATGTCTAAAAAATAAATTTGTGATAATAGAAAATAACCTACGTTTAGGATAAAAATACTTAATTTATAAACACTATTTAAATCACAAATAATAATCTCACAGGAATAAAATGTATTACAAATTACATAAAAATAAAACCATACCTAGCTTTACTCCATAAAGCTAAAAGAATACAATTTTAAAATTGTATTTACTAAGACTAGAATTTTCTCCCTAACCATATAGTGCAATGCAAAACCATAAGGTTTAGAAACATCCCTAAGTAAAACAAATTTAATAAAAACAAAATTAAGTTTCAACACCTTGTCAATAAAGTAAAATCAATGAAACAATATTTGGAAACACTGTAGAAACAAATTGATCTTATAACCTTTCCCAGATATGTTTATTTTATATATATAAAAATAGTATTTCCCTGTCCACACATTTTAGTCTAGAGGAGTAATTCTAGCACCTCCTTGTGTAATCGAAGGATAATAAGGTATTCTTTTATCAAAATACTTATTATATCTTGCTTGGGGATCAATGAATCCCAAATTTTGGGGATCATAAGTTATATAGTTGTTATAAACAGGTGCTGGCTTGGGCTTCTCATAAAACAGCGAATAAATTAATTTATATAAACCAAAAATAGAATTTCCTATTAAATTTATAATATTTATAAAAATAGGTGTGGAAGCTTTGATCAGTCCAGATAGTTCATTTAAAAATTTTAAAAACCATTCTAATAAATACTTAAGAACGTTAAATGTAGCAGCTAATATAGTACTAAGTAATATAGCAATAAACTTCAAGCTATCTATAATATTACCTAGAGTTAGCAATTCTCTTAAGAAATATTCCAGATTTTGTTTAATCTGTAGTTTTTTCTCCTCGAGAATTGATGATAAATTTTCACTTTCATAGTCGCTTGTATTTCTCAAAGGAGTAGATTCTCTCTGATACGGTCTAACTATGTCTAACTTGAGACGAATTTCTTTATCAAGAAACTCTACGGTTTTTACTTTATACCAATATTTCCCAAATACTTCCTTTGGTAAAACTACCCATAAATTATATCCAACAGGTGCTCCTAAAATTGGATATTTTTTAGATTTATTCAATTAGTTAATTTATTAATTTCTTACCTACTGTATTAGGCTCTGTGATTCCCAGCCAATGTTGGAAAAGGACATTTTCATCTATTTTATTTTTTATGGCTCTCAAGTTTTGAATAAAAGCATCTTCTTCTGGACAAACTGTCACTACATCTCGATAGTCATATAATTCGTCAACCAGGCGTTTTTCTTGAAAGACACCGGTAAATAAAGTGCCTTTAAGCATAGATTTAGTATGCTTTTTGATATATTCAATACCTGTCCTTTCGTCAATATTTCTTGTAGCCGCAATAGTCATTTTTATAAAATACTTGGGACTATTTTTAAATGTTTAAAAAATATCAAATATGCACTACTAAGAATAAAAATGTAACTTGCCCATAAATGTCTAAAAATCATTTAATTCCAGTTATTTCTATTCTTGATCTTTGAAAATAATAAAGTGACAAGTGACGGACCAGCAGGGGTGCGTTCAGAAATGTAGAATAAACGCATCCGGACGTTGTTTAAACTCTAAAAAGTGTTCCTTAGGAGCGATTCCACCGTTGTGTTAAATGGAGATTAAAATGACATTGTTAATGTAAAAATGTCATTTTAAACTTCGTTTAACACAACGGTGGAATCGGTTCTTAATGTTGAACGAATTTCCTCAGCTCAGAATTTCCTATTTAAAAGAAAAACACGTAGAGATGAAGAAATGTTACCCACCGTGTTGAGTAGGGTAATTTTTACTCGACTTGCGCAGTATATTAATAATTTTTACATAAAAAAATTAGGAAAATGTAGTTATTTACTTTATAGCAGATGAAACTATTGTCCATTTAGATTCTATACCTACTTACAAATTTTTGATAATTCCTACAATAATCCTACATAACCAAAAACTTGATTGGACAATAATGACAAGTGTCATTTGCGGTTACCGTTCGTATATTGCGTTCGGTCTGCCAAGTTCTTTTAACTCCTTTAAAACTTTTTACCCCAAACGACCCTTTTAGCGTTCGGTTTAGTACGGTTAGTGACAGTTTAACACGCTTAAATGTCATTTAAAAGCACCCTAAAATGCTCGAAGAAAAAAACTCCGCATTGTCCCGTTCCAGCCCCTGACTGTCCGAACTCGCCTCTATTTATTAGGCAGAAACAAACGCTCTGGCAAATGTCTCGACGATTTAAATTTTGACGCTCTCGATTTATGAACGCACCCCTGTATTGAAAGCTGAGAATTCCACTGGAGTGCGTTTAGAAACCTCGCACGGCGCGTCTTAACCCTATTCGAATGTATGTGGTTAGACGCGCCGTGCGAGGTTTCTAAACGCACTCCTGCTGAACGCTTTTTGACACTGACAGTAATTTTTTGGCATTTTAGTTTGTATTTTGTGATTTTAAATAAATAAATAATTTAATTTGTAGTGTATGCTTATAAATTATTTTATAATATGGTTAAAAGTTGCTTTATGTGTAAAAAATCTTTTCAAAAGGCGTCTTCAAGATCATATCACAAGTAAGTACAAAATAATGCAACCTAAAGATATTAGTGGCGGTGTTATTACAACTACAATCTTTACGAAAAAATAAAATTTAACAGGGAATAAAGCTAGATAAGTTCATCTTCAGCCGCCTTGTAATTGTTTATTGATAAAGAAAATTAAACTGTGGTCTTAATTTTAAAATCATACCAAAAAACCTTAAGTACCATACATTATGTTGTTTCATACAATGACGACAGAAGAACGGTATAGAATAAGCGATGCTATTGACTAGACAGAGGTAGAACAGAGCGCGCCGTTCATTAGTGCTAGAGGTGTATTCATCTGTTCTATCATGGCAGACAGAGGATTCATGAGAGTCTCCTTATTTCACTTACCTGCAAATATGTACAATTAAGTGTCTCATCTTCATTTCCGAGGGTCCAAGGCTTAACATATTGTATATCTATCTTGTGTAAATGAATAATAATGAGACAATTTATTTTTTTGCTAGTTGCTATTTTTTAATTAATATTAACAATTTTACTGAAAAGGGAGGTACTGAGTGGGTAAAACAACATCAATATTGTTATATTATAAAATATTGTTAGGGCAAGGAAAATTATTAAAAAGCGAATTGCTGTATGTACTATTTGACAATAAATAATTGTTATTTTTTTTATTGTAGATTTCCCTTTCTCGATACGGAAAAAAGAAGTAAATGGTTCCAAAATTTAGGAGTCGATCAAGTGGCCAGTCGTTGGATTTTTTTATGCTCTGATCATTTTGCTGAAGAAGATTTTTATTATACACCTCAGGAGAGGAGAGTATTAAAAAAAAATGCTTTTCCTTTAAAAGTCAACGAAAAAAGTGTAAATAATCCTATCACTATTTCTTCAGGATCTTCATCTGATACTAATACAGCAAGTGAAGAAGATAACTCTATGTGCCTTTCAAATAGGTTGGTTGTTACACTAAGAGTACCTCAATAAATTGTTATTTTTTTACTTTATTTGTAGTCAAAGACTGAAGTATATCATTATTTTGCCACCATCTGAACCATCAGGAACTCTTACATCACCATCAGGATCATTGGGAATTGAAAGGTAATTGAGCTTCCTATTTTTTTTTAAACTAAAGTAGAAGGCAATGCTACTTTTTTTTTAATATAATTTTTAATACTACTTAATTAACTTCAGGTTAATACAGAATGAACCTTCGGGGTACAGAGGTAATTTATTAACAAATGTTATGGAGTCTCCAATAATAGCAAATAAAAGTTCAAAAATTGTTACTTCCCCAGCATTTTCATTTGATACTAAGACAGCAAGTGAAGAAGAGAGATCTATGCACCTTACAAAAAGGTTGGTTGTTACACTAAGGGCCAGTCTTTTTACCTCTGAGTAAAGTGGAAAGCAACTACTTGCTGATTAAAATATAGGGCTATTGTTTGATAATCTGTCAAGTAAACCTACATGTAACTTTACTCAGAGGTGAAAAGATGAGCCCTTAGAGTATTTAAATAAATTATTTTTGTTTTTACTTTATTTGTAGACAAAGACTGAATGGTCTCGTTATTCTGCCATCATCTGAACCATCAAGAACTCTTTCATTACCATCAGGATCATTGGGAATTGAAAGGTAATTGAGCTTCCTATTTTTTTATACTAAAGTAGAAGGCAATATCTTTTGGAATAAAATTTTTAATACTTTATAATTTATTTCAGGTTAATACAGAATGAACCTTTAGGGTACAGTGGTGATTTTTTAACAAATGATATGGAATCTCCAAAAATAGCAAATAATAGTTCAAAAATTGCTACTTCCTCAACATTTTCATCTGTTACTAAGACAGCAAGTGAAGAAGAGAGATCTATGTATCTATCAAAAAGGTTGGTTATTACACTAAGAATACTTAAATATATTATTTTTTTAAATTTAATTTGTAGACAGAGACTGAATGATCTCGTTTTTTTGCCACCTTCTGAACCATCAGAAACTCCTTCATCACCATCAGGATCACCGAGAATTGATAGGTAATAATTCTGTACCTCAGAGCCAGAGTATGTTAAGTCCAAAAACTTAGTTTTTCAAGATTGCATTTTTAATATATTCATTTTACCTTTTGAAATTATGAAACATTGTTTTTACTAAATCTAGTCACTAATTCAAAATTAAATTAGTTTTAGGCATACTAATAACCAGCATAATGCCAAATTTTTGTTTTTGATTTTAGTGACTTAACCTAGTTTGGCATATGCAAAAAACTCATTTTTTTCATTTATCATATTTATTAAGTCCAAAGGAATGCACTTCACTTATTTTCAGTGTACTTTACATTTAGGTTAATCAAGGGGGAGGGAAAATAATACTACTTGTTCATTACAATTTACTGCTTAATTTGTTCTTATAATAAACAAATATATTTTTAGTCATCATTTTAGTTTTTTCCATATTATAAATTCTTGTACAGCAAACGCCAAATCTATAGAACCAAGGACGCGCATTTGTAATGCTACGAACACGCCTACCGATGAATAGAATTGGTAGCTTATCTAGAAAGTTGTAAACCAGGGGCGCGTATATTTTAAGACAAAATAAATGGAAAATAGTGAATGATACTTGTTCATACATATTGCTTAGTGTTATTATCAGTACATAATTCTATAGTCAATTAAAAAATCATTTTTAAGTAAGCCAACTTTAGGTTAAGGCTCTACCACTTTCCATTCGGTATTTATATAAAATTCTGTTACGGTCAGGAAATTATCCTTATTCAAATAAATTAAATTGTGGTAAAATTGTATATTGGTCAAACGGGCCGTACTTTCAAAAAAAAAGTTATTTAAAACATTACAATAGTTATACTAAAAACAAAAATAATTCTACAAAACATATTTTTATCTGAAAATCAATCGTTTATGCAAAAATTGTTTCACATTTTGAGAATAAAGGCATTAAATTAAACTATTTAGAAACACTTGAAATAAATAGATTTAAAAATTCAAATATCCTCTTAAGTGATCAATTAGATATTAATTAAATTAAGCTTAATTAAATATCTTTACCTGTTCTTAGTTTTCTATGAGATACTCCCGGTAATGATATCTTATTAGAATTTTATTAATATATTTCTCTTCAGTACCTACTTTAACTAATTAGTTTATTTTGTATATACAGGGTGTTTCCGAACTTGGCGTCCATATTTGTAGGGGTGGTAGTTCGCATAATTTGAGACAGATTCGCAGATTTCATTTTTCCAAAATATTTAAAATAAAAATAATTAAAAATTATAAACAGGTACGGTCCTGTACAGCGATAGGGGCGCCTCGACTAGCGCGCGCTACGCTTAGAATCGACAAAATTGCAAATCGCATCTGTTTTCGAGGACTATTGCGCTACGCGCTCAGGATAGGACCTGCTCTTTGATTTTTTATAATGGCTCTATTTTATTTATTATAATTTTTTTAGAAAAATGAAATCTGCCAATCGCTTTCAAATTATGCGAACTATCACCCCTACAAATTTGGACGCCAAGTTCGGAAACACCCTGTATATTAGAAATGTAAATTTGAAGAAGTTGTACTAATTTTTATTTCTTTAAATAAAAGTGTGAAAATCTACCATGTTTGGTTTTTCTCATTTTAATAATATGGATTTTCATCAAGTAAAGGCCGAAACTATCAAGAAATTAAAATGAAATGGTATTAAATACTTACCACTCCTGATAAAGCATTGTAGTTAACTTTATATGAACGTTTCGACCACACTCCATCAACAATAACTGTAATCAGCCCATTGCCTTCTCTATCCACTTCACCAATATCTCGAGCTAATTGCAGTTCTTCCCTGATTTGAATATCAACAAACTTTTTTTGATAAAACCCATTTCTCCCCCACCGTGAACTATAATAAGCCTTTGGTCTTTAGAAATGACAGAAAACAAACTTTTTGTTGAATCGTCTGTCTAATTCTTGGAAGAAGTATGTCCGCTGTGAATATATGTTTCGTGTAAATAAACAATTGGTCTATTTTGACTTCTAAAATATTTTATGTCTCAAATATTTTACTCTTAAAGTTCTTATTTTCATTTTTTCCACCAAAACTTTACGATTATTTTGTGTTTTTCACAATTTAAATTTTAATTTTTTAAGGACTCTTCTTAATGAAGTTTCTGATATGTGGATATCTAAATTTTCCTTAATTGTATTATTTAACCTTTTAACAGTAACACGAGACTTTTCTGTTATATGAAAATCTTAAATTATTCTTCGAATGTCCCACAATTGATATTCAGAGAGATTCGTAGCGGTTGATTTTTTGACGAAGTTTTTCCTAGGTGTGGAAAATGTAATTTTTCCAGTTGTTTCCATTGACTGTTTACCTTCCTTCAAAATTCTTTTAACGGTAGTATTAGAAACACCTGTAAAAACGTAATATTATATTAATGTTAAATTTAGTATTTTTTTTACATTTATTAGGAAACAAAAATTTTTAGAAACAAGATAAATTTTAAAAATTTAAATATAAAATATTAATCAAAAATAAAATGCATAGATATGTGTGTAAAATACAAAAAAATATGGAAAACTACTAAGTTTAATTGAAAATAAACTACAGAGTATGTTTACCTGTTGCTTGTGCAGTTTGCTATCATCTAAAGTAACTCCTTCCTTTTTTGTTGCGTCAAAATATTTAAAAACATTGTATATTACTTGACGAATTTGTCCGTTAATAACATCTGCGCTTTTTTTCACCCACAATAGAAGAAACAAACAATGATCTAGTCGTTACGCTATTGACCGCAAGCAAGGACAAGGTTCAAATTGTAAACGGGCGTGGCGATTTTTAAGTAAACGAACTTGAGCATTCTTTAGATTTGGCGTTTACTGTAGTCATTTAGCTTGTTTCTTCTGTAAAAGTCGACTTCTAAAAAATCTGTACTAAAAGCGGTTTTATAATAGATAATTCCAGGGTTACTTCTCCTAACTTGCAAGTAAACTGCTAGGGATATCAGTAAGTCGTTGCTTGCGCTATTTTTTTTTTCTTAATGATATCTGGCTTTGTTGGTCCCTCAAAAAGACGTTTAAATTCTTTAAAATTGACTTGTCCTAGAAGACCACAGACCACGTCTAGTCCCAGGCATTGTAAATATAAATTGAAACTGAACTCAAATCCAGAGGCAAATAAGGTTAGCGGTGCTTAATATTGTTTGCCTTAAGGAGATCTGCGGACTTAGCGTAGTTTAAAAAGGCCCAGATATTTTAAAAGATACGCCAAAATACCAAACGTTGCCCCACAAAATTTTAAGTCACTTAACATATTTAGCTACAATTTGGACTCAACATAGTCTAGCTCTAGAATTACAGAATTGGGCTTCTTAGAAGGGAATGCCACCTTTTGTTTTGTTGTCAAATTTTTTTGTATACACTTTATTTTTTAATGCTATGTAATTTACTTCAGGTTAAAACAGAATGAAACTTCAAGTGGTGATTTTTCAACAGATGATATGGAGTCTCCAAAAGTAGCAAATAGAAGTTTAAAAATTGCTAAGAAAACTATCAAGCGCCAAGAACAGATAATAGCTGATTTGCTTGCCCAAAACAGAAGGTTAAAAACAAAAGTTAATAATTTACAGGATCTTCTTTGCCATTTACGCAAATCTAATGGTACATAACTGAAAATGCGAAGCTAACTGGTAATGTAAGGCTGTTGAAATTAATATTTATTGTAATATTAGAGCCATTTCTGGCCAATCTGGTCATGCTCCAATCCTTTGGGACATTTTAAGAACCTACTTGTCCTTAAAACCAGGATATTTGATGAAGGGTATAAACCCCATTTACCCAATTATCGGGATGCCTATGCTCACAGATAGCCTGTATGAATCATTCATTCAGGAATGTACTAGAACCTTTATAGGAAAAAAATCGAGCAAATGGCGAGAGCGCTACTACAGGATAGTTGAAGATTTTGGTGGATCTCTCAGGATTACCTTCGTCAATTATACAGCGTGGTCCTTAAGTAATTGTACATAGAAGTATGGTAGATTCCTCACTTTAAAATATTACGATTTAAACCAACTTTTTTTTTTATTTGGTGTCATCGGCATCAACTACTACGGTTATTAGCCTCGTGTTCGGTGTAGGCTTTGTTACTGTTTCCCAGCGCCACTTTAGGAACAGCACTGTTAATTAGAACCCAACATTGAATGGTCGAGTGGGGAATCCTACCAAGGCATCAGAATTAATTTTAAATAATCAAATTAAATGAAAAAATCCCGGCCAGCGGTGGGATTCGAACCTGGGACCCTTGGATCCACAGGCAGAGACTCTCTACCACTGAGCCACCCACCCCCATGAAAACCAACTTGTTTTAATAAAATGTTGCTAATAAGGAATATACATGGTGTTAAAAGGTTAAATTCCTTTTTTGCAATAACTTTAACGTTTTTGGTTATGTATACATAAAAATTTGGAAATGGAGGTTTTTGGGCACGAAAAATCATAATCTGGTACCTACTTCGATGTAATTTATAGAGGGCGCTACATAGGCTACATTTGTGGCATAAATGTGCCCTAAATTTTTTTGCTGTTTAAGTTAGCAGTATTTTTGTACCAGATTATGATTTTTCGTGTCCAAAAACCTCTATTTCCAAATTTTTATGTATACATATCCAAAAACGTTAAAGTTATTCCAAAAAGGAAATCTTAAAATTTATTCTTTAACACCCTGTATATTCCTTATTAGCAACATTTTATTAAAGCAAATTGGTTTAAATCGTAATATTTTAAAGTGAGGAATCTACCATACTTCTATGTACAATTTCTTAAGGACCACCCTGTATAAATATGAAGGGCCTACGAGATGAGGGGGGTAGTCGGGACAAATTTCCGGGGCCCGGGCACAAGGGGGCCCAACAGCGCTTTAGCCGAGGACGTTTTTTTTTTAAGTTCACCATAGAAGAGAGTACTTGGTTTACGAAAAATACAAGGTGCGACCTTTTTGTTTTTTTTTTTTAGATTTCGTTTTAGAAAGGATCTGATTTTACTTGAGAAGTTTTTTAGAAACGCAACATAGAAAGGACTTGATTTTGATTTATGTATAAGACTGTCCCGGAGCCCATTATGGCTTTCAGCGGCACTATAAATATGTTTGCAATTATGGACAGTAAATGTGATATAAATTAGAATAAGTAAATGTGTTAAATAAATTAATTAGTACATAGTGTAGTTAAATTATAAATAAATTATTTTTAAATTAAACAATTGTTACATTATTATATATTTTGATCATCAAGCATCATCAACAGAAGTCTTATCTAATAAGTATGTGTGCTTTTCATAACTTGTTTCAACTCTATCCATAATAATGTAAATTTTACTTTAGACTGTCATAGGGTCCCGAAGCGTCGATCCAATTCTTACCCAAGTTGCAGCTCCATAACAATACCCTATGTGTATGGACACCATATATGTACCTTAATTTACCGAATCCGCAAACACTCATTTTTGCAATAACACATTATCACTCTAACATCGACACAAGTACTAGTGATTTATCTGGCATCCGTACTCGAAAGCCAGTAAAATTATTTTTTTTTAATATTAAATTGCCACTAAATAATCAAGAAGTAATCCTAAAGTTCGGAGACTAGTTACTCTTTCTCACGGGAACAACTTCGAACATTCCTATTTCCGTAATTCATGTATACCCGAATGTACATACGCATAAATATTTCAGAAATCACAAAAATCCACATTAATTCGCTTGTCTAAACTATGTCTTATTAATACTTTACACCCACGTATATCCCTTCTAGCTTTCTAAAAAGTACTTCTAATCGAATTTCATTATTTATCCTAAAAAGACAGTTTAAATTTCAAATATACAGCCGTTGCAAATTTCAACCGATTCCAAAGAGGAATTAAAGACAAGATTTTTGGTTCGCTGTTGGTGCAGTGTCCACCAGTGTAAATTACACCAGTTACACCACCTTATATACACTCTAGTTTACTTCCTTCCTATTAACCGACTTCAAAAAAGGAGTAGAAAATTTTAAACAAAATCAAAAAACTCTTATAAAACATAAAAATAAACCTGAAAATCACTCGTAAAAATCACAAATAGGTTTATCTTGATTACAATTGTGAATATAATTTTTTCGACGTCAAGATTAAAATCCCGATGGATATGCAAAAGAGCTAATCCATCAACGACCAGTCACAGTACGACTAGACCGATTAAATTCTAGTGGTCGTTCATCGCTCATCTACCATATACCTATTACATCTATACTGTACGCCAGCCTGTGCTTCTCTATTCTTCATTCGTCACAGTCATCTTTTTTTTGCTTTCTTGTAAAATCTCGTTTTTTTTAGATTACAATTTAATAAATTCCTGGATTTCTTCGATCAGCTCGGGGGGGTAATTACCCCCCCCCCCTTGTATCCGCGCCTGGCTTGACTGAGGGAGGCTTTTATTATTACTATTATTTTTTTTTTATAAATTCACTGGTGTAGAATCTTAACGTCACTCAGTTTAACTAACTTATAATATTTTAAATCATTTTAATTTATTACAAAAATGCACCACAAAAATTCAAACAATTTCACTGCTGACCTCAGAAGGGCATTCCCTTCAGGGCACGGTACACGGAGAGTTCTATGGCTTTTCCCCGGTTACTCCCGCCCCAGAGCAAAATGCCGAACTCTGCTGTACATTTAAATGTTCATGATTTTCATAACTTTCAAATTAATGACACTACCCGACGGTTTGCGAAATCCCCGCCGTCTGGGCCCGAACCTACCCTGAGAGTACCCAATTCATTTGAATTGGGACTCAAATCATTCTCCACCCCATCGAGCGTTAGCTTACACACGGAAAATGTATATCAGGGGGAAGTTTCCCTGGTAAAGTGCCTCTTCACACTGTTGGTGGTGTCGAGGAGTTCGATACGCTTTCCGAATTGTCCACCAGTACGGCCATATCTCCCTCACGACCCTTTCTTAGCGAAAGAGCAGGGTCAGGACAAAACGACCTTCACTCGAGCGAGACCCGACAAGACTAAATTAAGTTCTGTATTATTAAATTAGTTACACAAGTATTTAAAAATAAAAATAAAGTAGACACAAAATCTTTTTATTCTAACAAAAAAACTGAAAAGCAACATTTTTTAACAACACATGAATAAACTAAATATTAGTTCTATTTAAAAAACAATTAAATCTTTGCCAAACCAATAACACCACAAGCTACTCTGCCACCCGCATTTCCAGTGGTTAGGCTCAATTCATGGCCACCTAAAAAACAAAACAGTATGTTATCAACTACTATGCTGCTAAATGGCAACTATAGTATAAAAAAATTAGACAATTTTGATACAATGCAAAACCTAACATTTATTCAATTCTGGTGCAATTCAAATGGAGTCTGTCCAGCATTACCAACAGAAGAATTTTTCCAACCATTGGTCCAAACATATTGGTAATATTTTTTTAATTAATGGGAAACAGATATCATTTTTAAAGCTTTGATCTCAACTTAGCTCAGGAAAAGACTGATAAAATCAATGCCCTGTTCACCAAGCGTATTGGCTGTTCTTGATATGTGAGAGACAGGAGTGTGATATCCATAATTTGCATAATGGTACGAGTGGTTCTATTTTTAATCCTAAGTAAAAAAAGGGATGGAAGTTCTGGACAACAAATTTTAGTAATTAAGTATCATTACCAAGTCCCAAATCATCGGGATCTGCATGCACAACAACAGTACGTCCAATAATACTGTTTTCTCCTTCCAATGAAATTTGTTTGTCCTGAATATTAATTTTGGCGACACCATTGTCTCCGGCTTCGACATTGCCTAGGTCGCCAGCGTGGCGTACAGCAGCATCTGGTGCACCGTGGACTTTGTTAAGAGGGTTGAAGTGAGCTCCGGCTGAAATGCAGCCATTTGTATTGTCTCCGAATTCGTGGATGTGGAAACCGTGGAGACCTTTTCCAAGCCCAGTAATTTCTCCTGTTACTGCTACAGGGCTTTTGGAATCCTGTAAAGAAAAAATATAATGTAGTGTAATTATTAGCAGAAACAGATAAGAAAAATGGGGTTACAAATATAAATGTAATGAAAACAAAATAAATGGTGAGGAATAGTACACAGAAGAACCAACAATTAAAAATGCAGATCACTGAAAATAATAGTGATAGAACGATATCACTTTTTTTTGCTGATACGATATATCGGCCGATACCGATATTTACGTGCCGATATATACATAACGCCTTCTATTTATACACGACCTAAGCAAAAACCGGGGAAGTCCCGTTTTATAATTTCGTTGCGAGAAAACGTTTGTGATTATTAGTGAGTGACATTTCGGATTTCGGGGAAGTCTCTTATATTCTGTAGTGCTTTAAAACACGGCGTTTTAAACTTGACTGTTAATTAGAGGAGATAAAATAAATAATAAATAAAATACGTGTGGCACTCGGGCACTGCCGCGGTAAAGCTATTGCATAGCATTTTTTATCAACTTATGCAATTATAATTATAATTTTTCGATTTTCTTTTATTGAATAAATGAAAAGTTAATATTGTTTAACGCCGCACCGCTGTGCCGGCCGGAGTGGGGGGTGTTAGGTTTTTTTTCGTTAGGGTGCTTACGGAATTTCTTGATTCGGTCTCCGCGCTCAAAACCCGCGATAAAAGCTATGCAATAGCTTAAAAATATTTTATTTAAATGGAGAGTTCAAATAGAATGGAAGCGGAAACGGGCGCTGGTAGAAAGAGAACGGTTGCTCATTATGTTGAACAGGGTAGTAGTAAAGAAGCGGAAAATAAAAAAATTAAAAGTATTGACAAAGGTAAAAGGAGCATCTTTTGGAGACATTTTGAGAAGATGCAGACAGATAAATCTGAAAACGAAAATGCGACGATATTCAGACGCGTTGGAATTCTACTTACTATATGCTTGAGCGTATATTGGAACAAAAAGAAGCAATCAGCTTATATATTTCCAACAATGATGGTCTCACCAACCTAACTTACTCTGAATGGAAATTGGTAAAAAGCATCCTCAATATTTTAAGGCCATTTGAAGACATTACAAAAACCGCAAGTAAAGAACAATGTTGCATTTCTGAAGTAATTCCATTAGTCATAACCTTAACAGAATATTTATCCAAAGAGGAACCACATTTTTCTGGTGTAGGTACAATAAAGAACGAACTTCTAACAAGTTTAGAGAGACGACTTGGTGATATGTTATTACAACAAGAAAATCTGTATGTTGCCCTTAGGTTTAAAATGCGTTTTTTCCCAAAAGATACTAAAGAACAAACATCTCATATTAAACATATAATAAAAAAAATACGTGTGGCACTCGGGGACTGCCGCGGTAAAGCTATTGCATAGCATTTTTTATCAACTTATGCAATTATAATTATTTATTTTATTTATGCAGTATTTTTTTTATATTAATTCAAGTTACACTTTTTGAGCGTGGTGACCGATTGTTTTTTCTTTTATTGAATAAATAAGAAGTTAATATTGTTTAAAATATTTTTATTATCTTACAATCCATGTAGGTTATTCAGGAATTTTATCATTGAAACTATAGGTTTATGGTAACTGAAATAAGAAACATAAGTTTGAGACTTGATATCCTCTAAATATCTGGAAAATACCGCGTCAATAATGGTCCCATATTTTGTTGTGGATTCTTGTGGATCATTATTCATGTTCAAATTCAATGTTTCCGAAATTGTGTCTAAAAGAGATAGAATCAGTTATGAGCAGTTAGCAGCATACGTCTAGTCGCACGCACACAAACACCGTGCCGAAGTCTGTCGAATTGAAACGACGTTAGACGATGCACGGCTTTCAACACCGCACCGCTGTGCCGGTCGGAGTGGGAGGTGCTAGGTTTATTTTCGTTACGGAATTTCTTTTTCGATTTTTCAATTTTCTTTTATTGAATAAATGTTTAACGCCGCACCGCTGTGCCGGTCGGAGTGGGGGGTGTTAGGTTTTTCGCGTTACGGAATTTCTTGATTCGGTCGCCGCGCTCAAAGCCCGCGATAAAAGCTATGCAATAGCTTAAAAGGCAATATACAGCAGCTGAAGTGGATCCAGAATCTTTGGAAGATGAAGATAATATTCCCTTAAGCCATTTACAAAATAAGCAAAATACATTTTGGGAAACTTTTGACAGCATTGCCTCTACTTCGGCTTCCGAGACTAATACTACAAAATACATGAAGCAAGGATGTGAAAATAAAATAATATTATATTTGGAATCTTCAACTCTATTAAAAGATAAATCTCCTTTTCAGTGGTGGAAGGCAGAAATAAAGAAAATTCCCAGTTTGTACAACGCAGCTTCAGTCTACCTTTCAGCACCTGCTGGCAGTGTGTCAAGTGAACAACTTTTTAATGAATTAGGTAATATTTACAAGCCTAAGAGAAATAAACTAAATGCAGATAGGGCTAAAATGTTGGTGTTTTTGCATTATAATATTAATAAATTAAATTTTAAGTTTAAGTATACAGCGAGGTATACAGGATGTTTCCGAACTTGGCGTCCAAATTTGTAGGGGTGGTAGTTCGCATAATTTGAGAGCGATTCGCAGATTTCATTTTTCCAAAATATTTAAAATAAAATTAATTAAAAATGTTAAACAGGTACGGTCCTGCACAGCGATGGGATCAATTCTCTGAACGCGAGGTAAACAACCCAACAAAGCAATACGCACTAGAAAAACAAACGGCTACGTCTTTTGATACCGGCCGGGGACTATTGCGCTACGCGCTCAGGGTAGGTCCCGCTTTTTGATTTTTTTTTATAATGGCTCTATTTTGTTTATTATAATTTTTTAGAAAAATGAAATCTGCCAATCGCTCTCAAATTATGCGAACTACCACCCCTACAAATTTGGACGCCAAGTTCGGAAACACCCTGTATACTGTATTTAGTACCTGCTACATTAGGTATATTTGTTGTTGCTAGTGTTAAGATTTGTTGTACTTTTTTAGTAAAAACATTACATTTTTATTTTTTTTAATAAAGTATTTCATTTATGCACTGTAAAGAGTGAAAAGCGCAAAAAAAATGTTTGCCGATACGATACCGATAATTGGCAACAACTGCCGATATACCGATATCAATATGGGTATCGTACTATCCCTAGAAAATAAAATTACAGACATTCATGTTTATAGGTACAATTTTTACAAGAATACCAGCAATTATTTATGTAGATGGTAAATAAAATGGGACCTAAAAATGTCCTTTGTGCCAAAACTCCCAACAACTAAAGATGATCAACAGTGTCAAAGGACTTAATAAGATCCAAAAGACGCATGAAACCGTTTTACTATTTTCCAAACACTTAACTTATTAATATTGAAATTGCATCATTTTTTGACAGATCCTCTCTACAACAGAACCTATTTTTTTTATTGCTTTTTCAAACATTTTAGCTAAAGGTGTAATAACAGAAATTGGTCTGTAATTAGTTATCTTCAATTCATCTGTTTTAAGTGGCATATGGGTTTTGCTAAAATAGTTGACATTTGCTTAAAAACTTCTGCCATCTAATCCAACTGATTTTTGATTTTTTAAAGATTTTATTGTTACTTTTTTCGCTTCAGTTATTGGTTGTTAAAAGAAAGAACTTTTATTTATATTGTTTACATGTGGAGGTGCTACAAGTTTTACAATATCTTTTGCATAAGATTTACCAACATTTACAAAAAAAAAATCCTCTACTATTTCACGTGAATCATTACATAATGCTTTTAACTTCTTTAACTATTTATTTATTTCTTCTTTTGTTTTCTGAGAAATGTTTAATAACTTTCCACAAATTTTTTGACTTATAGTTATTGTCAATGATTTGATTTGCATATATTTTGCTTATTTTATCAATGCATCTAATTTTTTTTTTTTTTTAATTATAATTGTTCTTTCTTTTAATATTGTTTGTAAGATTGTCTTTATATAATTTATACATTTTTTACAAATTGAATTTACTATACTCTCACTTGGCCATTTTTTTATATTATTAGATATTACTTTTCGAATTCCGAAAATAAGAATATTCTAGTAAAACCTATTAATGATTATTAATAATAAATAAAAAACAAATATTAGGTATTTAATTTGTTCGATTCATTTTATAATCAAACTAATTATTTGTTACCTTCATTTTTAAACAAAACAAAGTATGAATGGTGCCACGTGCAGTTTTCAGTTAAATTCGAATAAATTTAACAAATCCTCATTTAATAATAACAAAAAAACTTATTCATGCAATTGTAGCATTATGTTTCAAATCTAAAAATCATAATAGTACTCATAATAACAACAAAGATATTTGTAAAAATGATGTAAACTATCAGAAAAATTTACTTTCTCAACATTTCTTAGTTGGTTATTGTTATTTATAAAATGAACATTATTTATTAAACAGGAAAACAGAAAAAAAATGCATAACGAAAAATATACAGTGTTTAGCTAAATATTTACATACTTTAATAATACAAATCTATAAGTAATGAAATAGATTTGGTTGAAACTCTATTACATGAACTATTATTTGAATTTTTGCTATCTCTGCTATTACTATTGTAATTACTCATTGTTAATTTATGTTCCTTTAATATTACAGGTTGTTAATTAGAAACTTGTTTTTATAGCCATTTACTCCAGTGGTAACTATAAAAGTTTTTTTTTTATAAAATGTGATTAAAATGTAATAATCATTGTCTTATGTAAGTCTAATAAATTTAGAAACATAAAAAGCTTTATAAATAATCTAAACCTCTTAGTGAAATGATACGAAAATATCAGAAGTTATTTTAAGTGACTATAATATTGACTTTAAAACTTCAAATCATTCAATAAGAGACCACAAACTGATAAGTGATTCTTATAATTTAAAGATAAAAATTGAGGAACATACTATTACATATTTTTACAAGTTATGACAATAAATTACAAATATATTAAATGAACTTTGCTATTATGGTATTTACTGTTCTCTGATTACCTATATTTTTTTTAAAGGCAAACTCTACAATTGTATCTGAAATTATTTTATAGAAATTATGAATAAAAAGAAAATAAGACAAACTTAGATCATTTTAATGTATGTAATTTTAACTGTGATGTAAACATTGTAGCATCAAATTTGGTTAATATATATAATGATCTCAGTAATATATATCTCACTGACCCTATTAAGGACTGTACCACAAATTAAATATTCAACAATTACTTTCTTGTCCACCCTACTAAATTATATCATGTAATATTTAGGTAAATAAAGTTTTAGGTCATTGGCAAAAAATATACTACAAATGTTATTGATGAATAGAAGAAATAATAAGGGCTCTAAGTGAGTGTCCTGTATCACATCGGAAGTCACTAATTTTGCCTGAGGTCAGAATAAATGGAATCCACTTACAAATTTTCACCAATCTATGACAGAATATGATGCTTATAATCAGTCAAATTTATTGATTATTAAATTATTATAATACTAAGAAAGATCAGATATTTTTTTTTAAATTTTAGTAATTATAATTAGCATCTTGATTAAGTCCATGACTGTACATCTTAAGGGTTCAGCTAATAAATCAATGATGCTTCAAGAGGTATTACCTTCGTTATCATCATTCAAAAATATAATATCAGGCAAAAAACATTTTTTTAAAGATTTATAATATTACTAAGAAGATGTTAAGTATATTAATTATTAATGTGTGCAGAAATACATACAATGTATATTATCTTTCCTATAACCACAAAACAATTATTTTTATCGAAATAAATGTAAAACAGGGAATCTAGATGTGGCTTGTTCTATGGTAGGTTTTGGATTACAGAACTAGTGTTTAATTTCTGATAAAAACAACTTTCTATTATATTGAAATAATATGAATATTTTCAACACATCTCTAGACCACCATTATGATTATTTTTACTTAAATAGGGGGATAAAATAAAAATAATAACATCTAAGCAAAATATTCATTTAATGAATGACCAAGGTAAAATTGTTAAGAAATTAGAGTTTAAAAAGTGCAGCAATAGGTCTTAAAATAAGCTTTGGCCTTTGAACCTCTGATGCCTACTAGTTCATTATAATTTATACATGAATCAGTAAGTGTATAGTTGCTTAGAATTACCTACTTAACAATTAGACATAAATGATTAATCAAATCAACTGTTGGTTTTTTAAATTATCATTCAGGGACTTCCAAAATATATTTTGCTTTATCATTCAAGATAACATTATTGATAACATTTAGAATCCTGCTGTAATATTTACAAAGTTAAAAGATTGTATAAAACAAACTTGATTTCTTTTATCTTAAAAATACAACTATTTTGCACCGTTAATGTAGAGGTGTAATAGAAACAAGTAGTCTTTAAATTGTTTAAAAAATATTTAAAATAAATCAATACATAAATATTAAGTTTAATTAACAGACCTTGAACTTTAGACATTCACCGGCTATGCAATGTAAATATGTGCAATTAAAATAAAATATAGAAATTTTAAAATTGATAGTAACAAACGGCTACTTACAGCTTGATTAAAAAATACAGTGCCGTTGACGACTTCTCCCTTGAGGACTGCAACTGCTTTACTAGGCATGTTTTCTATATAATTATTATGTGTCGGTGAGAAAAAGTTATAAAATATCTCTAGGGTCTAGGGAATGTTTATAATAGACAAGTCTTGAATTAATCAAATTGTTCCCTTACAACCAACGAAGCAACTGAATGGCTCGAAAATCGAAAACTGATAGAAAATTGAAATGTAATCTAATAATTAATTAATTAAAAATGTCAAGTCACTCAACAACTCAAGGACAAGGATTTGCAGTGTTGACAACTTAAAAACAAACATGAGTTCGGGATGTGGACTCCTTTTAACTCTTTTCACTCCGTATCTAACTTCACATCACTGAATTACAATGATTTAGCATCGACTGAAGTTAGTTATGGAGTGAAAAGAGTATAAGGAGTCGACACTTCCGAACTCAACATAAAGTTTGACAGTTCTGTTCTCCATGGACGTATCAAATAGTTTTTTCATCAGAATCCAAAGGATTGTTTTTAAAATATTTTGTCAGACAAATTTAAAAGAAAAATGGTATTCTCACATAAAATTTTATTTTACAAAAAATTAATTCTGTTATTTTTTATTCAAATATAATAAACGATATTTACAAAAAAAAATTAGGTTTCAAATGTTAATATTTGTGCATCCTCCAGAGACAAATAGAACTTGCCTTTCAACTTATCAAAAACCTGCTGGTTGTCGCTGAGAGGTATCTAAAGACAGCCATCTTTCCACCTCATCAAAATCTTGCAAATAATCAACTTTTTAAAAACCTTTAGGTTGTCGCTGAGTGAGGGGTCTTTATAGTTAGCCATATTAACTGCTCGTCAAAGTTGTTTAGGTTATTAAATCATGAAAACCCCACTGATTGTCAGTGGGGGATAGCCAGCCTCTCAGGTCAAAGTCCTGCAGCTTAATAATGTCGCCTGGAGGTGTCTATTGGTGTCCCATTTTTTTCCGCCGAACCGTGAGGCGAACCTAAGATCTTTCCTTCCGGAGTCGTCACATGGAGTTATACGGCCATCATAAGAGCTATACTAACATACGGTGAAATTATCTGGGTACTGAAAACCTAACAATTGATAGCTCTCCGTAAACTAGAACTAATTCAATGAACAGGAGCCATGAAAGTGTCATTCTTAAAGCAATATTAACACCTGAGCTTAATCTTCTGATGCAATTGAGCAGCTATTTGTATTGGTTAGATGTGTACAGAATCAAACTGTCATTGGAGCTGATTATTTTTCACCTAACTAACTGCTCAATCTTCATTAAGTACTAAGTACTATACCCAAAGAATTTTTGTCAATAGAATCACTTTCTAATACTTGTACTTTTCATCATCTATTTCAAAGCAATCTGGTACGAAATATCTCTGGCAACCTACTAGATCTCGTATTAACTCAAGACCAAATGGTAAATGTATCTGCTGCAGATGAAGATATCATAGAACCATACAATTATCATCCTCCATGAACTGTTATCATTCCTTATGTTTTAAATAGTAAAGTGCTTAGTAGTGATGATTTTTACCGCGATTTTAAATCCGCTCATTATGTAGTTATAGGTTTGTTTCCAATCTCTGGTAAAGCCTATAAATAAATGCCTTTTGTCTCACTCCCCTTGATATTTACATCAAGGAGGTTGCTCTGGATGATAATGACACGACTCCGCACAGTTGGAATGGAACATGATGCAGGTTCTGGTGAGACGAGACGTCGCTTTTGGCAGGAGGCGCTTGATATGCTCCTACTGCTTCAAGAGCAATAAAATAGGATGTGAGCATGAGCAAGAGCTCATGGAGATTCTCATAGCAGCAAAACAAGTTACCAGAAACAATATATTACTAGAAAAAATTAACATGCTCATCCAAGTCATACAACAAATTTACTCAAAGCACTGAGTAAAGCAACGATTTTGAACCGTTCGTTCCTAGTCATGGGTCTCACATGGTTAATACGGACATTTGGGTTTCAGAATCTTATATTTATTGTTTTGGTGCCTTCAAAGATTGTTGGAAATTGTTCGAGCTCCAGGTAGCTCAAATACCGAATGAGTCGTCACCATGATACTATAAAAAGAAGGTATGTATTACGCAGAATACCGTAGCGCCTTTAACCATGACTAACGGTGGAAGGCATGGCTCTTACGAATTTGAGGTATCAGCTGAACGAAAACCGCATACGACAAAAAAATGTAATCTGCTCATGGCCGTATTCAACACCACAATACGTCATGCGCGAACTCGACGAGATTTCTTAGGCCAAGTATCATACCTCTGCAGGGTTATTCTACTAAATTTATAGCCCGGCTACAAGTTGGATTTTGGCTTTTTTTTTTTTTTTTTTTTTTTCGGTTTATGGCCTAGGTGTATATACCTAATATGCCAGTCTCAAATTTGTGTTTAAATTCTCAATCATGTGTGTTCTGTGTAGGCTTTGTTACTGTTTCCCAGCGCCACTTTAGGAACAGCACTGTTAATTAGAACCCAACAGTGAATGGTCGAGTGGGGAATCCTACCAAGGCATCAGAATTAATATATGTTCCTAACTTCAAAATCCATCTTGTAGCCGGACTATAAACTTTTAGCCGGGCTATAAATTTAGTAGAATAACCCTGCTGTAATTTTTTGTAGTAGTCACGATAGGTTTTCAACTGTCCACTGGCCAACTATTTCTCAGAAAGTTTTTAACTTTATTTTTAAAAAACTAGAAAAACCTGTAGAATAAACTAAATTTTACATCATGAAATTGGCTTTTTACTTACATAAACATTTTGCAAATTTATCGTTTTAAGAAAAGAAAAACATATACGCCACTGGAAGAATTTTTTTATGGGCACTGACAGCTGTCATTTTTATTGATTCTTCTTGTCACTTGTCCTGTATATTTGTTTACTTTTTACTACCAAATGTACAAATCTTACAAATTACAAATAATTCTAGCTAGCAGAAAGCACAAACGTAACAAATCAAATAAGAAAATTAGCCAACAGTGAGGAAGAAACAGAGGAGCAGAAAACGTTGAGGATAAAAAGAAAAAATTGTTTATAAAATACATTTTTGAGGTTATCTGCTGCAATTAGAAATTAGAATGACTTTGGGAAGTCAAACTAAAGCTTACTTCGGTAAAAAGTGAGTAATTTTATTTATCCTTACTCATTCCTTACAAACATTTTACTTTTCAGGAAAACTCCTACATATCCACCTCAAGGTGTCAGGTGCCAAAAATGTTTAGAATATGGACATTGGTCTTACGAATGTAAGGGCAAAAGAAAGTATTTACACAGATCTTCAAGAACACAGTTATTGAAAAAACGATTGAAAACTAAAGATGAGGCCAACACTACAACTGGTTCTACTGAACTCAAACAAAAAACCACAAAAGTAAAATCCAAATCAAAAAATGGTGACACCAGTAGCTCGGATAGTAGTTCAGACTCTGAAGATTCCAGTAATAGTGACTCAAGTAGCAGTGATAGTAGTAGTTCATCTAGCAGTAGTTCAAGTTCCGAGAGTGAAAATGAATAGCTCAACTCACTAATATATTAGTTCATATTTATATATAAGTTTAAACACCCTAGAAGAATACTTAAAACTGCAGTTAAAAGCAAAAACAGGGTATCATTGAATGAATAAAAATAATACTATTAGAAAGTAGAAGAGTTATATAATAGGATAATAAAAAAAGTTTATCCATTTTCAAGCTATAAATTTGATAAAATATCAACAGATTGTGATGCATTTGGATGTCAAATATTTTAATGTGCAAGAAGATATTAATTATTATACTTACTTAATTTTTGTATTCATAATAAATTATTCATTTTAAATATATTTTTTTAGTTAAAATAGTATATTCTACAGGGTGTCATCAAAAGAGGGTAAAATATTCTGGGAGTGGCAGTACCCTTCAAAATATAAAAAATCTGATGTGTCCAACACATGCCTTTCCTATCTGGTTATTATAGGCTTTTTACAGTTATTTTGTACAACCTATTGCAGCACCTCTATAAATATTTAGAGGATAAACTAAATATATACATTTTCCACATACATCTACCTCGAAACATTTTTCTATAGATATTCACTCTTCCACATGTATTTTTTTAGATTTTTATGCCCAACTACCTATTGCAATATAAAATATAATGTTCTTTATGTACATTTACCTAATATATTCTGCCTTCTGTTTAATGACATTACCTTTTCAAAACATAAATCTGTAGTCAATGAGTTTTTAACTTTGTACCTAATTCGATATTTTTCGTAATCCTGTACAAGTTATAAATTTTCATGCTAACAGCTAACAGTTTTTTGATACAGCTTAACTTTAAATTAAAGCAAATCTGCATTACCGGTAAATCTCTAATTCGTGCTCATTGCCAAGCGCGTCGCCACAGTCAACGAGCACGGAACATACTTCCAGAATTTGTATTGGAATGTCACTCTGTAGAAAAGTGATCTGTGCTGTTAATGTCTTCCATTCTCCCGCTTTCTCCCTGTCCTTGTTGAACGTTGAACTGCAGAAGTCCATAAAAATTTTAAAGTGTTTCAATTTTCGAGCAGTTTTTTAAAATGTCGTACAAAGGTTACAAGTAAGTACATAAAAATTCAAATATTTAAACAGTATTTTAAATAAATATTGTTTCTATATGCTTTTTTTGCAGGTATTTATTTCATTTTAAAAATACCGGTTGTCATTATAACAAAAACTTTTGTCTACACACGTTTTATTTTATCAAAATTAGGAAGTCAACCGTTTTTTCTTAACATGTAAAAGTTCGTTACGTTTTCTCAACAGAAATAATTAAATATGTAGATATAAAATTTTACAAAATTCACGAATGATTTCAAGAACTAAATAATTTTATTTATTTGTAATGAAATAATTAAAATTTTGATAAATTTTTCAATCACTTTAACTGGAACTAATTCGCTAGAGCATCAGGATAAAACATATTTGGATAACACGCAAAAACCGGTCGATTGAAGTTTTTGTGTGAGCTTTCCAATCATATTAAAAAAAAAGTTTTTTTTCACCCCTTCTAAGAGGTGAAACCTAACCCCACTTAATTTTTTGAAATGGGATGATACTACTTGTGTGGTACCTTGTTGGAAAGCTCTGTTAAAAAGAAAATTGGCTATGCTATTTTTTCTCATTTTAATTTAATAGCGATTATTATTAATAAAAACAGTTTTTTTTCAGCCCTTTTAAGGGGTGAAATCTAACCTCACTTAATTCTTTTAAATGTGAGGATACTACTTGTGTGGCACCTTGTTGGAAAGCTATTTTAAAAAGAAAATTGGCTATGCAATGTTTTGCTCATTTTTAATTTAATAGCGAATTTTTAATAAAAAAACTTATAGAAATCAAAAATAGACCATAAAAGTGCCTAAAAATTTATTCGAGGGCATTAATTTTAAAACTTATGCAACGTTTAACCTACCTAAAGTTGTAATTCTGATTTTTGTGTAAGGTGGGTCATCTTTACATTTATTAAAGAAAACTGTCTTAGCTATCAAATTAAAATGAGAAAAATTGCACAATTTTCTTTTTAAAAGAGATTTCCAACAAGATGCCCCAAATAGTATCATCCCAATTAAAAAAATTATGTGGAGTTGGGTTTCACCCCTTAAAGGGGTTGAACATTTTTTTTAATATGATTTGAAAACCCACAAAAAATCTCAATCGTCTTGCTTTTGGGTTTTATCCAAATATTTAATCGTGAGGCTCTAGTGAATTAGTTCCAGTTAAAGTACACTTACACACCCTGTATAAATTGATGATGGTGCAAGATTTTGAAAATATTATTAATTTGTAGAACAATTGTAGTAAATCACATAAACAAAGCTGTAATAAAGCAGGTACCTACATGAAAAAATTGTGTAACTTGCAAATTCTAAATAAAGTTTATATTTATGTAAACTATAAATAAAAAAGAATTCTGTAAAACTATAGGTGTGAGTGTATTATGCTTATCTATGCTATAAAATTAGGACATAATTATTATATGGCTGGACACATTTCCTGCAGTTAAAAAAAAACGATTGTAGGGTTTACACTGGTTAGTTTCTAGTGCAGAAAAGATATTGGATAATATGGAAAAACAGTTTTATTTCAAACTAAGTGATAACATTACAGACTGTCACAAAAATTATACCTACCATACAGACTTTAAAATGTTAAATTTAACAAACCAATTTTTTTCCCTCCCCTAATCTTTTATTTGTTAAAAAAATATGTAGGTAGAATATATTTTATATGTCAACAGTACCTAAAACAAAATTGATTAAATGTTAATATAAAAATATTGAAAATAAATAGTAGTTATTTAGACATTCCAACGAACTTTCAAAAAGTAGCTGTTGGACAGGGCTCGTTTATCTAAGGGGGTTGTGAAATAGCCTTCCATCTTGGAGAAGCTATTTTTATTCTAAATTGCTAAGCCTGCCAATTAATTTATAAAAGATGTATAAGCGTTTTTTTAAAATAATATATTAATAAAATAATAAAATATATAAATTAAATCCATTATTTCATATTTTGTAGATAGAATACATTCACAATTTCTTAGGTAGTCAACTTTCTTTATTGTTGAAGAATAAATTACATTCTTATTAACAAAGATAGATAACATAATACTATAAGAAAGTTAAAAACAAAAAGTTAAAATTTAAAATTCAAAGAAAAAGAAACAAACATAAAATTTTCATCAATAAAATTGTCTGTTTTAAAAATTCTAATGTTTGGTTATAAAATATAAACAACAAAAATGCACAGGTACAAATATGACAATCGAGAAGTATATATAATCGTGTATATAAAATTGTTTGTCCTAACTGACTCACTTACTGACTGACCTATCAGCATACAGCCAAAACTACTGAGCCTAGAAAGCCGAAATTTGGAACATAGGTTAATTTTATAACGTAAGCATCCGCTAAGAAAGCATTTTTGGAAATTTTAACTTTAAAGGGGGGAAATGGGGAGAGAGCTTTTAATGAAACTCTTTGCTCTTTAAAGTTAGAAGCATGAAAATTTAAATTACAGCTACTGAGTATAAATAAATAATGACGTGTTTCAGGGTTTTTGGATTTTTTACATTTTAAGGGGTGAAAGTTTCTAAGGGACTAACGATTTTTTTGTTCTCTATGAAGTTAGAAACATGAAAATTGGAATTCCATCTACTGACTACAAATTATTAATGACGTGTTTCAGGATTTTTGGGCAAACGGGGGTAAAAGTTTGTATGGGAGTATAACTTTTTTTGTTCTCTTTGAAGATAGGAACATGAAAGTTTATTTGGAAATATCGATTTTTTAAAGGTAGGAACTTGAAAATTGGAATTGTAGGTTCTCATCATAAATAAATAATGAAGTGTTTCATGGTTTTAGGATTTTCACATTTTAAGGGGGGGAAACAGGGGTGAAAATTAATAAAAATTAATAAAAAATTATTAAATATTATTAAAAATTAATAAAAATTAATAAAAATTAATTAACAAAAATTAATAATAAATTAATAAAAAATTAATAAAAAATAATAAAAATTAATAACAATTAATAAAAATTAATCAAAATTAATAAAAAAAATCCGTCGAAAACTGGAGGTCGAAAAAAATCATGATTCCTATACTTTCCTTATCTGTATACAGATAGGAAAGTAATTAATAACAATTAATAAAAATTAATAAAAATTATTAAATATTAATAAAAATTAATAAAAATTAATAAAAATTAATAAAAATTAATAAAAATTAATAAAAATTAATAAAAATTACAAAAAATTAATAAAAATTACAAAAAATTAATAAAAATTACAAAAAATTAATAAAAATTAATAAAAAATAATAAAAATTAATAGAAATTAATAAAAATTAATAGAAATTAATAAAAATTAATAAAAATTAATAAAAATTAATAAAAATTAATAAAAATTAATAAAAATTAATAAAAATTATTAAAAATGAATAAATATAAAAAAATGAATGAAAATCAATAAAACTAATAAAAATTAATAAAAAAAGAGTCATGTATTTTTTTATATTAATAACACGACTATATGCGATCAAAGTCGCGAGCAAAGCCGCGGGCAATAGCTAGTACACATATATATTTCTATACAGTGAGCATCATAAGTCTTACCCCCCCCCCCTATCTAACTCGTTACTGGAGTCTTGTTAGGAAAATCGCCGAGACACGTCGATTTTTGATTTCTACAATGTACATTTTTGTATGAATAGTTTACCCTTAATTTCATCCCTTACTGGAGGGGAGCAACCCTTTCGAAAAATTTAAATATCATGGGGTGATGAGTGATAGCTCATTTGAAAGGGAGTTTTATTCTCTACTCAACCGTGTAAAAATTTTTGAAATTTTTAAAAGTTTTTCACATGTACTGGTAGTTTATTGTTTGTAAACCATTAACAAATACATAGTTTTTTCCACTACTACTGAAGGTTTGTGGAATATAAAAGTCATTATGGTGTCTTGTATTATAAGTGTGGACTTAAAAATTGTATTTGGTTTTATTTACCAAGTATGTAGGTGTATCCCTTTTTTATTTTAAAAATTAAAATTAGAGTGAAATAAAAAATAATCTTTGACTGAAATAGATCTCTATCTCCATGATGTGAGCATTTCCTGAATGGGGGTTTATTTCCTGCAATTTTTTGATTCTACTTAATTCATTTGGATTTAACAAGTATAATATTGATGAGCAATAAGTCAAATGTGGAAGCATCAATTGGTTGAGCAACATTGTTTTGGTCCACTGATCGAGGAAGCTTGAAGTTCTATATAAATAACTAATTTTAAAAGAAAAAGTTTTAATTATATAGTTGGCATGATCTTTAAAATTTAATGTGTGGTCAACAATAACACCTAAATATTTTATTTTCTTTACTTATTCAATTTCTTGGTTTCCTGATTTATAAATTATTGTTAAAATCATCATAATATTTGGTGTTCCCTATTAAAATAAACGTCATTTTTGATTAATGAATTTTAAGGTAATTGGCACAACACCACTCATTTACACAATTTAAAACACCATTCATAACAACAACCAAATGCTGAAGGTCATTGGAAGAAAAATAAATCAGTGCATTCGTTGACTATTTGTTCTATATTATCAATATAAAGTAAAAAAAATAAAGAACCCAACACGCTTTCCTGAGGTACACCAAAACAATTTTCTATTTCATTTGAGATCAAGTTATTTATTTTCAGTTTTTGTTTATGTTTGTCTACACCCATTGCAACGGTTCTTCTACAGCTCCTAAACTTTTTAATTTATTAATGAGTAAATCTCTATTAACAGTTTCAAACGCTCTCTGTAGGTCTAAGAAAAGCGCTAGAATTATTTTTATTTTCCATAATTTGAGTCATAATATTTTCTCTTTTCATTTCTAATAATATTAACAGCCATATTACGTTTTTGTTTATATAATTTTTTATTTTGTTCCGTTTTGTTTGATACGTAATTTGTATAAGCTTTATCCCTATCTTTAGTTGCAGTGTGCACTGTGTCCACCAAACTCTAAATTTTGGAAAAACCTTAATGGTTCTCTTTGGTGCCACCTCATTTAAAACCCTAATTACTTTTCATAAAAAGCCTTATATTTGTCATTATTTATTCCTGTAATTCCATTCAACCCTAGCTAATTTTTCATTAATAGTATCAAAATCGATCATTCTACCTCTACTTTTAATTAATTGTGTTTTTTTGGTTAGTATCAAACAGTCCAGATATATTAAAATGTGTATTTATTTTAGACGATGAAACAATTTCTACAGTAATGTTTTCAGAGTTAGTTATCACAAGATCTATAAGTGAGTCACCATTGTTATTATCGAAGGGCTAGGTAACTTGTATTTTTCAAACCAATGTTAGTAATACAATTTTTTAATCTATTACTATAATATGTATTGTCATGCATCAAGTCAATGTTAAAATCATCTGTTACAATTATAATGAAATTACAATCACATAAAAAGTCATCAACTAAATATGTAAAAAAGTCTAAAAATTCCTTACAAGAACTACTAGGGGATCTGTATAAACTAACAACTAAGTAATTACTGTTTTCAAATAAAAATTTCAATAGTATTATCCAATATTTTTTGTGTGCAAAATTTGATTATGATTTTTTGTAAAAGTAACACTACTGTTTAGGATTAGATTATTAGAGGAAGATCATTACAAAATGCATGGAAATCTTTTTCAAATTTATTACAACAATCACCACTGTTAACCTTTAAGTAAATCTTTAAATCATCATAGTTACTATATTCAAAAACAGATCCAACATTATTAATGAATAAATTAATAAGTAAAGGCGCTAAGTGGGCTCCTTGCGGTACACCAGAATTAAATTAAACTTTATTGCAGTCTCAATTTAATATGGGATATCAAAGAGATAAAGGATTGGTCCTAGCAAAATGGCGTCTTTTGGGAAACCGTGATTAGTAATGATCAAAGACATCCCTTGAGAGTCACAATGGGGGATTTTTTTAAACTCAAGAGAAAGTGATTTTTCTCAAGATTTTCAATGAAAAAACAGTATTTTTAAAGCCAGTCACTGACTGTTTCTCTCGGTTTATTTCGAGAGATTCTCACTGGATTTCTCGTAAAAATCTTAAAAGAAATGAGTTCTCCCAAATTTTAAAATCCTGCTATAGTAGTTATCCCTTTTCAGGGTGATGTTACCTAAGTTTTTGGCGCATGGGACCTGCGAGGCAGATTGAGTTCCCAATCAAGAATTGCCAAATGTCCTATTTCCAATCTTGTTTCCTTTGTTGTGCCTCGCTTTTATAGTAAAATGATTTCATACTTTGTCTTTCTCTATACAGAACGAATCGTTCAGAAAGTCCGACTTCTCGTCAGGAATCAGAAATGGTTACCAAAAATTTAAAAGAATTACACGCCGCCGGTAACGTTGGAGATCCCATCGAACGCATACGATTGTTGTGTCTTTCTAAAGGAGCATCAGGAATTTTACATTTGGGAAGGTATGTTAAAAACAGAGTGGTATACCTACATCCTTGCAGTAGAAATAATTCTCTTTAGAAATCATCATAAATCCTATACATCTCAAAAATCTCCTCGTACACCCTTCATACTTCCTCCAAAATCTTCATACATTTTCTCTTCCTAGAGAATCGTTTCCATTGAATTGAAAATTGATCAAATTTAACTTTAATTTATATTGTCGTTCGTAGAACATTAAGATTGATGGATAACCACGGTAGTAGAAATTTAAGTCGCACAGAATTCCTGAGTGGGCTGAAACAAGTAGGTTTAGACTTATCGGAAGACGAGACCAAAGAAGTATTCCACAAATTCGATACAAACGGAGATGCAAGCGTTAACATTGATGAATTCTTAATAAACATCAGAGTAAGTAATATTAATATATTATTATGTAAAATGTTTCACTGGTTGGCATTATTTATTTATTTAATGGGTTCTTTTTAAATACGATACTTTACTTTTTATCAAAAAATAATATATTTCCAAGCCTGCAAACAAAATAAAACAATATTGTGTCAAACGGCTTTGAAGGACTAGTCTAGATTATAAGAAATTTATTTATATGCTAAAGAAGTATTTACAAATATAATTCGACACTATATACAAAGTATTCTTCCTTTTATGCGGCCCCTGCGGATCACTACATTTTACACAAAGACATTTTAGAGGTCTGGCACGAAAAAACAGAGTTGTCTGACAAAACTACCGTTCAGTCTTCCGTCTGACAAGACTACCGTCCAGTCCTCCGTCGGACAAGACTACCGCCCAGTCTTCCGTCGGACCAGATTGTACATAATAAGGAAACCACACAAATTATGTTTTTTTGTTGTTTAAAATATCAGATTGAACTTTTAAAATATCCATTCGCTTTTTATTTACTATTTTTGTTATTACAAACGTTTCGTCATCAATTGAATATAAATATGAATAATAAAACAATTCCGCTTATTTCAGCCACCACTCAATGATTGTAGAACAGGAATTATAGACAAGGCTTTTTGTAAAATGGATAAAACGGGCGATGGATTAGTAACAATGGATCAATTGAAACGCGTTTACAATGTAAAAGCCAGTTCTCGTTATCAAGCCGGTTCAGATAGCGAAGAATCTATTTTGAAAACGTTCTTAGATCATTTCGAAAAAGATAAGGAACAAGATGGCAAGGTAAGCTTTAATAACTTATCGATGTGATAAATAAGAATAAATTTATACATAAGGGAAAAGAATGTTAAAATTTAAATTAGAATTTATTTTTTATTCAAGCAAAACTTACATGAAACTATTTTTTTTTATACAAGAAAGTGTTTGGAATATTGTAATATTCACAGTGATGCATAATCTTTTAAATGGACTAATATAAGTACAGAATTTTACCTGTGTAAACCTGTAGTTAGTTTTTATAAGTAATCGAGAGTTTTGGCAAACATCCGCTAACGTTACCTTAACAATATACTGTAATTTACCCCTAAGAATGTTAATGAAAAATGTCACAACTTAAGCGGAGATCTTACATACATTTGCTAAAACCCTCTATCATCTTTGTTGTATCACATAGCTGCTAATGAAAATTGAAATAAAATAAAAACTTGACAATATATCCAGAATTCCACACTTATACAGGATGATCTTCTACGAAAATCCACATCTTACTTCTCACTGTATTTCTAATTTTAAATAATTTAAAAGTTCAACAATTAAAACGTTACAACTAAATTATTGGCTTAAAATTCATTTGTTTTAGGTTACTAAAGAAGAATTTATAAATTATTATTCTGCGATTAGTGCTTCTATTGATAACGATTGCTATTTCGATTTGATGATGAGGCAACTCTACAAGCTTTAGAAGTTTATTCAAATAAGGAGCTTTTTCATACCTAGCTAGATATCAAAGGTTCTTTTAGAACAGTAAACAGTATTATTATCATTAAAACTAAAATTTCATTCATTTAATAAAATAAATCATTTCCAGTATCTAAATTATTACAATTTTTAACTTGTTTGATGTTACAATAATTTTTTTTGATTAAAATGTGTTTAAATAAAACTTTGGTGTCATTATTTGCCACAATTTTTAAAATGCGTTGCAGCTGCGTAATTTGTGTATCAAATAAATTTGACAGCGACAGAAAATTTATACAAGCGTCTAGTACCGGAGACAACTTTAGGCGAGTTCGGTTAGTCAGGGGCTGGAGCGGGACAAAAGCGGAGTTTTTTTATTAGGGTGCTTTTAAATGACATTTAAGCGTGTTAAACTGTCACTAATCGGACTAAACCAAACGCTAAAAGGGTCGTTTGGAGTAAAAAGTGTTAAAGGAGTTAAAAGAACGTGGCAGACCGAACGCAATGTTTGATGCAAGGAGCGAAAATTGATCCGTCATTTTATGAATAGCACTGTTGCCATTTCAGCTGTGTTATTCGTGATCGGTCATTGGCATTGCGAAAAATAAAAAGGCAGTTTCTTGAATTTATAAGTGTTGTACAGTACAGTAGTTATAAGTGTTTATAAGTTTGTATATACCAAAACTTTTGATCATGGAACAGAAGCAGAGCAAATTAGGCTGCATTAAAAGTCTGAGAAGACATTCAATAATTTGTCGAATTTAAAAAAAGGCCTTCATCCTGAAGAGGCTTCATAATTGAAGTTTTTAGAAATAAAAAATAATGAAGAGAAGAAACAACTTATTGTGATTTTTGTGATAAAACTTTCAGTAGCTGCTTTAAAAAAAAAGCATTAACAGAGACAACTAATGAGACGGTTAACTCAATGCAATTTTGCTTTTCACCAAGAATTGACTGGACGATTGGACTGGAAGATAAGGCCGATGGCGCTGGTATAACTTGTTTTGATAGTGGCCTTTTTCTTTATAAGCAACCAGTAAATTTATAATTTTTCTTTAAAAAAAGAAGAACCGCGGGAAATTCAAATATGTAGATCCACTTTATCTATTATTTTTATGATTTTTTTTCTGATTTGATGCACTGGAAATGTGAATAAATATGTAATTCACATTTTCTAGCACATCAAATCAGAAAAAAAATCATTTTTTTTAGGCACACAAAATAAAAAGCATTAAAAAGGAAAATAAAACGAAGTATGATTTCAATAATAAGATATATTCTGTATTAAACAATAATAAACATTCACACCACAAAGGTTCTACAATAAAATTGAAATACTTACTTTACGGAAATTAAACAAAATCCCGGCGTGATCCGGGCATTGTTAGTTCCTTCGGGTTTGTAAACAAACTTAAAACTACCTAATATGAAAACACCACGATAAAAATGTCATTCACCGGGGAAAACACTACTAACAAATTTAAAAACGTAACTAATAATGAATGAAAAACAACCAAAAAAATGAATTTACAAGTTAAATTGTAAAATATATATAAGTAAAACGACACCAAAGTCACCAAACATAGAAACAAAAAATTGGACAAGGTGATAAAATGATAGGTTAGAAATACGTCAATCTGGCAGACGTCAAAGTGAAATGCTCGTGCTGTGATGCCAAACTTACTTTCTTCTAGTGCTATTGACTTTTTATTTTTGTTCTTTGTACACAATCCTGCTATATATTTCTTAAAACACATCTTTTATTATATATATATATATATATATATATATATATATATATATATATATATATATATAAATATATATATATATAAGTATTACTTATGGATAAATAAGATCATTATTATTTAAATGTAAAAGAAACAAATTTGGAAAATGTTCATAACGGCAACATTGCTGGAACGTTACCAGCGACATCTACCCTATCTTTTAGCTTATGAGAACAAGATAACGTTATAAGGAAATAATGTACATGACAAAGATAAAATACCAGCTGACCCTGATGACTACTATACCTAAATGTCAATCAATTTTTGCTATGAAGTTAACCGTCTCGTGTTGTCTCTGGCATTAAGGTTAATTCGTGCAAAAAGGCACATTTTTGTGAATTTTTTTTGACGACACAGTTAAAATTTGTATATTTAAACTAATGGTACATTAAAGTATAACATTCAAAGAATATTGTGTCCAATTTTCATGTAGAAACAATAAAAAATACGGAAATGGCAGCAATTATTCGGATGCGTCTCAGGAAAAAGTAGAATTGCGGTGACCCTCCTAACTCGCTGCTGGATCATCAGAAATAAAAAAATCAAAGTTCTTTGGTTAAATAATCGTTTTCTCTAGGTAACGTTAGGAGTGTTTTTCGAAATTTCAATTTATTTCACTTTTTGGGAACACTTTGAAATAAAAAACGCGATTCTTGCGAAAAAAAATAGGCTTGTTTTTTAAAATAAAAAAAAATATGAGAGGCACCGACTTTGGAAACGTGAGTCGTGGAAAAACGCTTTAGAGTCGTGGGAAAAACGCTTTAAAGTTTTGAACACTAAAAAATTTGGAATAACACGTTCATAAGCGAGTTTTATCGTCTTATCTCACACTGAATCATCGACGCCAGGTCCATAAAGGATGTTGCTATCATCCATGATGTCTAAAGCATCTTTTTTGCTCCTGTCTACGATGAATCCTCATTCATGAGCGCTTGATCCACTACTGATTCCCATGTCTTGCATGGATGTTAGTAAAGCAAAAGAACCTGCCAGGGCCAATGCTACACTAAATTATACAGGGTGTTATTGAAATACACGTACATATTAAAATGGGGAATAGTATGTAATGACCAAAAAACGATTGGCACCAATTTTAACTTCAAATTCTAAAATTTAAATATTGGGGAAGAGTCCCCCTTTCCGACCTATTAGTTTCCATATTTAAAGAAGTAAAATAAATCGAAATTGAACTTACCCATAGAAATTGCACTGTTGCCGTAGCAAAACCAATTAATTCAAAATAAAGTTTATTACAGTAATTGTTCAAAATGCCGTCCATTATTATTTACACACACTTGCAATCGTCTTTCCAAAGAACTTTGAACATTAGAAATTAGTCTTGGATTTTGTCGTAGTTCCTCGGCTACCGCATTAACTTTATTGTTTAATTGTTCAACACTCTATTAATAGGTTCATTATAAACCAGTTGTTTCATGTGACCCCAAAAAAGAAATCGCATGGATTTAAGTCCGGAGATCTCGGAGGCCACTTAGTAGGTCCATTTCTGCCTATCCACTTTTGAGGAATTCTAATGTTCAAAAACTGCCGTACGTTTAAATCAAAGTGAGGAGGAGCGCCATCTAGTAGGTACCACATCCGTTGCCTTAATTGTAACGGTATCTCTTCTAGGAGTACTGGCAAAATATCTTCTAAAAAGTGGAGATATCCTGGCCCATTTAATCTGTTCGGGAGAACATAAGGCCCGATTAAATACTGATCTATTATGCCAGCCCAAACATTTATTGAAAATTTTCTTTGATGCCCAGTTTCCCTAATGGCGTGAGGATTTTCATCACTCCAAATATGCGTATTGTGCATATTGAACACGCCATCACGAGTGAATGAAGCCTCGTCAGTATACAATAATATTTTTAGAAAATCAGGAATATCAACACATTTTTGAATCATCCATTCACAAAACTCCACTCTCTTTTCTTCATCACCTGGATATAAGGCCTGGACTTTTTGGATGTGATAAGGATGTAAACCTTGTTCTTTAAGTGTCCGCCACACAACAAATGAGGACACTCCAATTTCAAGACCTAGTCTTCTACAACTTAATTGAGGCCGGTTTTCAACAGCTTCCAATATTTCTTCTTCGGCCGCCAATGTTCTTTGTGTTCTTGTTCTCCCTCGATCTGCATTGACACTCTCAAATTTTCTTAGATGCTGAACAGTTGAAATAAACGTACGACAGTCCGGAATTCTCCGATTTGGAAACCGTTCGCTATACAGGATTTGTGCTTGCCGAGAATTTTCTCCAGCTGCCCCATAAACCAGCACTATATCCGTTAGTTCAATATTCGTAAATAGTGGCATCGTAAAAAAATATTTAAAAGTAATCGTAACACTTTTTACCAACTTGGAAATGACGCGCTCGTGTTAGCCAGATTCGTAAATCAACTAAAATTTTAATAATCTATAGTTTCAAAAATGTATAGTTTAAAAACAATCATTTATCAAATATTCTAGTTTTTTGATAACGAGGGTAGTAAAAACCAGTCTTCGGAAATAGAAATTCATTCGAAAATCTTGGCAACATGGTTATTTCTTACAAGACTAGTTTTCTTATCATCTGACAAAAACTTGCATATTAATTACTGTTGTTTAAAATAGGTAAATAAACCTAATTTATATAGGTCATCCTCAACATATCAGTGAAGTACGTTTGTTTTAGAATTAATTTTCAAAAATTAATAACTCCCTTAATAAGGGGTATTTTTAAAAAATAATATTTTTTTACATTCAGTGGGGATCTGCGCAATACCCAGTTTTAATATGTACGTGTATTTCAATAACACCCTGTATAGCTGCCAGGGATGTTTCGTAATATTTATACAACATTACAAATCTTTCAATGTAATATTTTTGAAATATGTTTGTGCTGTATTGGCACTTGCTTACTAATAGTTTTTTCAAGAATTTTTGAGAAGTTTAGAAGAATACTTACCCAGACAACACACCAAATCCCAGAGATATCCACAGAATATATTTTGTGGATATCCAATATATCCACAGGATATCAGAAATATTCCGTGGAACTAATATAGATATCCAAATGTCCGTCTATAGCCAGAATATAGAAGATATCCTATGGATATTCAGCAGAATATCTAATGAGTATCTCCAGACAGAGACAATCCAGCGAGACGTGTAACTCAATGTATTTTTTTTGTTCGGTAAAACTTATTTGGGCGATTGTAACCACAACCAGTCTATGATGGCGCCACTAGTAAATAGCGGGAAAATTAAAAATGCTTTAGGGCGGGAAATTCAAACATGGATTCAGAAATCGTTTTTGTATACAACAAATTTACAAGAGAAACAAAAACTATTGTTTCACTGTTT